AAATTTTAGGCCTCTTTTTCTCGACCCTTTCTCGTCAGGGTCAGCGATGGGGCTCCCTGAAGAGGACTGCTCAGTCACATATGGAGCTGCCGAAGGAGGATGCTGTTCCTTGTAACATCCAGCCAACGGCCACCACTCCTATACCGCCTGCGTGCTAGTGGCTTCCGGCCACATCCTCGGCCTGTCACCGTCACCACAGGACTGTGTTGATGATGATGGAGATGAGATAATGAAACGGTTAGCCCTGACCCCACCACCAGTTTGGTCCTGATCACCAAGACGACCTTCAGGTGACCAAGAGTGCAGGGGACTACCAGAGCTCCAGTTAGTCGGGGTGTACCTGACACGAGTCACCCAGCTGAAGCTTTGTGTAGGGTGAGCCCCTCTAGCCTTTATGTCCTCCCGGAGTACACACAAGGCAATGGCAGGGGGGCTGTGCAGTGGTTGGTAGGCGTGTCCCCACACCGGCGGGCCTGCACAAGTACTCTGGGGCCCACTGCTACCCGTGATCCCACACAGAATCTGCCTGGGGCCACAAGACGCCCAGTTACCGTGTGTTGCCACGAGGAGGCCCTGGAGGGTCTTGGTGAGGCAGGGAGACGCACACACACACACACACACACACACACACACACACACACACACACACACACACACACACACACACACACACACACACACACACACACACACACACACACACACACACACACACACACACACACACACACACACACACACACACACACACACACCTTTATCACATAATCTAAAGTTGAACAACTCATTAGAGTCAACCTCACCTCCCGTCCGTCGCTCACTCAATACCTGACACTGTGTTCACGGGGAGGAGGAGGTAGAAGAAGAGTAGGCAGAGGAGGAAGAAGAAGAGCAGGAGGGGGAGGAGGTAGTGGAGGAGGAAGAGGAGGAGGAGGCAGTGGAGGAGGAAGAGGAAGAAGAGGAGGAGGAGGGGGAGTAGGCAGAGGAGGAAGAAGAGGAGGAGGAGGGGAGTAGGTAGTGGAGAAGGAAGAGGAGGAGGAGTAGGCAGAGGAGGAAGAAGAAGAGCAGGAGGGGAGGAGGGGTGGAGGAGGAAGAGGAGGAGGAGGCAGTGGAGGAGGAAGAGGAAGAAGAGGAGGAGGAGGGGAGTAGGCAGAGGAGGAAGAAGAGGATGAAGAGGAGGAAGAAAAGAGGAGTGGCCTCATGAGGTCTTTGGTGTATAGTTTTGTACCTAAAAATGACACATTATCTCTCGTGGTTTATAGTAAATTATTCACTGTTTTCATTTTACATTTTAATGAAGGAGTTAATGAATGTTGTTGTTGTTGTTGTTGTTGTTGTTGTTGTTGTTGTTGTTGTTGTTGTGGTGGAGTTTCTGGGTCATTCACACACCTATTCCACCTCCACACCTGTCACACACACACACACACACACACACACACACACACACACACACACACACCCGTCACACTCTCACACACACACTTGTCCCACTCACACCTGTCTCACTCACACACCTGTTACATACACCTGTTTCAATCACACACGTCTCACACACCTGGTACACCTACACACCTGACTCACACACACACACACACACACACACACACACACACACACACACACACACACACACACCTACAGTAGGTTGGTGAGTTCTGGGGTGACTAAAGAGGCCGATACGGGACCGGCAGAGTCGTCCACAGATGTTGCACGTGTGGGGGGCTACATCTAGTGCGGGAGGGGCGGCGGCAGCGTCTTTCCGACGTTGGCGCTTGTCTGCCTCAATATACAGTCGGGTTAACTCGAAAGTATTGACACCTCCTCGTGCGGTGCTCGTCCAAGCGTTACGGTGTGCAGTAATCGTCTCCCAGGTGAGGGGGTCCATTTGGCACCTTTTTCAGGTTTGTCTTAAGACTATCCTTATACCTTTTCAGTTGCCTGCCAGCGTTACGTTTACTATTCGTTAGGTGACTGTAAAGTAGCTGCTTTGGCAGTCTACTGTCGTCCATGTGGGCAACATGGCCAGTCCAGCATAGTTGTTCATGGATAATGGCAGCCTCGATGCTCCTACAGTTGGTGTCAGCAAGAATACTGGCATTTGTTCTCTTGTCTTCCCAGCGAACTCAGAGGATGGAACGTAGACTACGTTGGTGAAAGTTTTCAAGTGCCTTGAGGTGCCTCCTGTATGTGACCCATGTCTCACTACCATATAGCAGGGTGGGCGGGACCACTGCTTGATATACGTGCAGCTTTGTGGATAATTTCATCTCCCTAAAGCTGAAGACACAATTTCGGAGTCCGCCCAAGGCTTGAGATGCACATCTGATCCGATGCTGAATCTCTTCATCGATGTCTGCGGTGGTGGACAGGTGGGAGCCGAGACACCGAAAGTGGGCAACATTAGAGAGGGTAGTACCGTTAAGCTGGATGGAAGGTGGAGGTGTGTCTGAACCAGGGGCAGGCTGAAAGAGAATCTGAGTCTTACGTACATTCACCTCACAGCTGAAGTGTGCATACGCATCTGCATAGGTGTTCAGAATCTCCTGTAGGTCGTGTTCAGTGTGAGCAACAAGGGTGACGTTGTCTGCATAATGAAGTTCAATAATGGAAGCTGCCGACACCTTTGTTCTTGCCCGGAGTCGTCTTATGTTGAAAAGACCCTTTACCCGGTACTCGATGTTCACCCTGCTGGCTAAATTGGCACTGGCACGAGTAAGGAAGGCAGCCAAGAAGATGGAAGAGAGAGTTGGTGCCAGTACACCCCCTTGTTTAACCCCTGTTTGGATGGGGAAGAACTCTGACTGGGTGCCATTGTGCAGGACACTGCAGTTCATGCCATCGTGGAGTTGCCTCACAATGGCGATGAATTTTGGTGGGCAGCCAAAACGGCTAAGGGTCCACCAGAGGGCTTCCCTGTTGACCGAGTCGAAGGCCTTGGTTAGGTCGATGAATGCCATGTACAGGTCATGACGCTGTTTTCTGCACTTTTCCTGTATCTGGCGGGCAGCAAAGATCATGTCAGTGGTGCCACGTGATGATCTAAAACCACATTGAGGTTCTGGGAGGAAGTTTTCCGCCTCAGGAAGAAGTCTGTTTAGGAGGACTCAGGTGATAATCTTGCCAGCTACAGAGAGCAGCGAGATCCCAAGGTAGTTGCCACGGTCTGACTGGTCTCCCTTGTTCTTATAAATATTGACAATGGAGGCGTCTTTAAGAGCTTGGGGGATTTCCTCCTTTTCCCATATATTCTTCAGGAGAGAGTGGAGACGGCTGGTAAGCAGAGGTCCTCCTGCTTTATACACCTCGGCTGGGATTCCATCAGGCCCTGAGGCTTTGTTATTTTTCATCTGTTTGATGGCAGTAGCTACCTCATCCAGGGATGGAGGATAGCTGAGGTGGGTCAGCTCTGGATGCTGAGGGACCTGCTGGGTAGTCAGGACATCCACAGCAGTGTTTCGGTTGAGCAATGAATGGTAGTGTTCCTTCCATCACTGAATGAGGCCTTCACCGTCTTTAATTATGAGCTTACCATCAGATGAGCGGAGGGGGGCTGCGCCACGAGTGACTGGCCCATAAAATGTTTAAGTGGAAATGAAATATTCGTGCATCTTGTGTTGATGTGCACGTTTTTGTGCTTCACATGCTTCATTTTTAAGCCAGTCATTCTTTAGATTGCGAAGTTCTCGTTGGGCTGTTTCTTTCTTATTGCGGAAGGTATCAGTTTTGGTCCGAGACTGAGTGTTGTTCTGCCAGTCAGTAAAAGCAGCACGTTTATCATCGATGAGTACTTTGATTGCCGGGTCGTTTTCATCAAACCAGTCCTGGTGTATTCTATTGACCTGGCCGAGGGTCTCTGCAGGGTTTTGTCATAACAGTATTAAGAGTACCCCATTCAGCACTGGGATTCACGTTGTTTGCTGTTGGGTTGTTTATCAGCCCATGCTCGAGCTGCTCTCTGAAAGCATGTCCTACCGCTGGATCCTCCAGACGCTTGGTATTAAAACCTCTTTTGGAGGCTTGCTGCCTTCGTCGTTTTGGGACTTGAACATCCAGGCGTGACGGGCGTAGGTCATCTTGACAGAAGAGGGCAACGCCCCCTCCGCGTCTATGTAAACGAAGGTGATGAAAGAGTTGATATCCCTCAATATGACACGTTTTAGGCACAATTTGCCAAGCCTCACATATGGCAACGACGCTTGCGGCGGCTAACCTGACTAGTTGCCAGCTCGTCAAACTTGTTAGCTAGGGAAGTGACGTTGGATAGTAGTAGAGACGGGAGATCAGACCATATCCGTGGAACTTCAGTGTAGTGGTACGGTCTGTCAGGGGTGGGTTTCTCTGGTTTCCTAGTGGAGGTTACGGTCCTAATGGGCTTATGTTTATGACGCCCCTTTCTATGGCTGCGCGCGTGGAATATGTTCAGTGACTTCAGTCGAGCGATAACACTGCCATCAGGATAACCGTTCCCACGCTTTAGATGGTACAGAGTGCGTCGGGAGTAAGTGATTGGTGGCCATCTGTTGATATCTGTTGTTGTGGACGGAAGTGTTTGTCCCCGGTGGCCATAAACTCACTGGCGGCACTTTGAGGGCCACTGACACTGGTAGACATCTGTTAATATTTGTCAGTCGTAAACACCTCGGTGGTCCTTGTCACTGGCACTGCCCAATGTCTGGTATTACACTGCTGTGTTTTTTTCCTTGGAGTACACTATCGGAACACTGTTTGGTGATCAATCATTGCACTCATCACTTGAATGTTTTGCTGAATAAATCCCGGTGTAGTCAGGCTGATAGGGCGTTGGGATATAGCATGGGGTGCAGGGCCAAACAGACACGGCCTGACTGCCAAAACTCGGAGCGCCTTCAGGGCACGTCTTGTCTCACTGATGGTTGACAAGTGTGTGTGTGTGTGTGTGTGTATGTGTGTGTGTGTGTGTGTGTACAGCAGTAGTGGTCACGTGTGTTCTCTGTGTTACAGGTGAGCCGCTCGGCAGTGGTGGTCGTGCCAACATGGAGACTCGCCCAGTCGGCCGACTACGCTCCCTCGGCCCACACCAAGTCACTCTGGCCACACCCCACCCACTGCACCCCGGCTACCCCGCCCACACCGCCCACGGAGCCACCCATAGCGCCCCCCACTACCCGGCCTACCTGCAACACCCTGGCCACAGCGGCTACGAGCCTCACGCCACCCACAACGGTGACCTCACACCACGCCGCGATGATGACAGGTCACCCAAGTCCTCTGTCTCTCACCTGTCGCTCCTCTCAGCCTCCTTCCCCTGCAGGTGAGACCCTCCCTCCTGCAGGTGAGACCCTCCTCCCTCCCTCCTGCAGGTGTGACACTCCTCCTGCAGGTGAGACCTCCCTCCTGCAGGTGAGACCCTACCTCCCTCCCTCCTGCAGAGGAGACCCTCCCTCCCTCCTGCAGGTGAGACCTCCTCCCTCCCTCCTGCAGGTGTGACCCTCCCTCCCTCCTCCTGTAGGTGAACCTTCCTCCCTCCTACAGGTGTGACCTCCTCACCCCTCCTGCAGGTGAAGCCCTCCCTTCCTCCTGCAGGTGTGACCCTCCCTCCCTCCCTCCTGTAGGTGAAACCCTCCCTCCCTCCCTCCTATAGGTGAAACCCTCCCTCCTCCTGCAGGTGTGACCCTCCCTCCTCCTCTAGGTGAGACCCTCCCTCCTCCTCCTGCAGGTGAGACCCTACCTCCCTCCCTCCTGCAGGTGTGACCCCTCCTCCCTCCTGCAGGTGTGACCCTCCTCCCTCCTGCAGGTGAGACCTCCCTCCTCCTGCAGGTGAGACCATCCTCCCTCCCCTCCTGCAGGTGTGACCTCCCTCCTGCAGGTGTGACCCTCCCCTCCCTCCTGCAGGTGTACCCTCCTCCCTCCTGTAGGTGAGACCCTCCTCCTCCCTCCTGCAGGTGAGACCCTACCTCCCTCCCTCCTGCAGGTGTGTGACCCTCCCTCTCCCTCCTGCAGGTGAGACCCTCCCTAACTCCTGCAGGTGTGACCCTCCCTCCCTCCTGCAAGTGAGACTCCTCCCTCCCTCCTGCAGGTGAGACCCTCCTCCCTCCTGCAGGTGAGACCATCCTCCCTCCCCTCCATGCTGCAGGTGAGACCCTACCTCCCTCCTGCAGGTGTGACCTCCCTCTCTCATGCAGGTGAGACCCCTCCTCCTCCTGCAGGTGTGATCTCCCTCTCCTGCAGGTGAGACCCTCCCTCCTCCCTCCCTCCTGCAGTTGAGACCCTCCCTCCCTCCTGCAGGTGAGACCCTCCCTCCCTCCTGCAGGTGAGACCCTCCCTCCCTCCTGCAGGTGTGACCCTCCCTCCTCCCTCCCTCCCTCCTGCAGGCGAGGCCCTCCTTCCCTCATGCAGGTGACCCTCCTCCCTCCTGCAGGTGTGACCCTACCTCCTCCCTCCTGCAGTGACCCCACTCTCCTCTGCAGGTGAGACCCTCCTCCCTCCTCCCTCCTGCAGGTGAGACCTCCCTCCCTCCTGCAGGTGAGGTCTCCTCCCTCCTGCAGGGTGAGGGTCTCCCTCCTCCTGCAGGTGAGACCCTCCCTCCTCCTGCAGGTGTGTGACCTCCCTCCCTCCTCCCTCCTGCAGGTGAGGCCCTCCTCCTCATGCAGGTGTGACCCTCCCTCCCTCCTGCAGGTGTGGACCCTCCCTCCTCCCTCCCTCCTGCAGGTGAGACCTCTCTCCTGCAGGTGAGACCCTCCTCCCTCCTGCAGGTGAGACCTCCTCTTCTCCTGCAGGTGAGACCCTCCCTCCTCCTGCAGGTGAGGGTCTCCTCCTCCTGCAGGTGAGGTCTCCTCCTCCTGCAGGTGAGACCCTCCCTCCTGCAGGTGTGACCCTCCCTCCCTCCCTCCCTCCTGCAGGTGAGGCCCTCCCTCCTCATGCAGGTGTGACCTCCCTCCTCCTGCAGGACCCTCCTCCTCCCTCCCTCCTGCAGGTGAGACCCTCCTCCTCCTGCAGGTGAGGGTCTCCTCCCGCAGGTGAGGTCTCCCTCCCTCCTGCAGGTGAGACCCTCCCTCCCTCCTGCAGGTGTGGACCCTCCTCCCTCCCTCCCTCCTGCAGGTGAGCCCTCCCTCCCTCATGCAGGTGTGACCTCCCTCCCTCCTCCCTCCTGCAGGTGAGGCCCTCCCTCCCTCATGCAGGTGTGACCTCCCTCCCTCCTGCAGGTGAGACCTCCTCCCTCCTGCAGGTGTGACCCTCCCTCCCTCCCTCCCTCCTGCAGGTGAGGGTTCCCTCCCTCCTGCAGGTGAGACCCTCCCTCCTTCCTGCAGGTGTGACCCTCCTCCCTCCCTCCCTCCTGCAGGTGAGACCCTCCCTCCTCCTGCAGGTGTGACCCTCCTCCTCCCTCCTCCTGCAGGTGAGGCCCTCCTCCCTCCTGCAGAGACCCTCCCTCCCTCCCTCCTTCCTGCAGGTGAGGTCTCCTCTCTCCCCTCCGCAGGTGAGACCCTCCCTCCTTCCTGCTGAGGTGTGACCTCCCTCCTCCCTCCCTCCTGCAGGTGACCCTCCCTCCCTCCTGCAGGTGTGACCCTCCTCCCTCCCTCCCTCCTGCAGGTGAGACCTCCTCCCTCCTGCAGGTGTACCCTCCCTCCCTCCTGCAGGTGAGGTCTCCCTCCTCCTGTGACCTCCCTCCCTCCCTCCCTCCCAGAGACCCTCCTCCCTCCTGCAGGTGTGACCTCCTCCCTCCTGCAGGTGAGGTCTCCCTCCCTCCTGTGTGACCCTCCCTCCTCCCTCCCTTCCTGCAGGTGAGACCCTCCTCCCTCCTGCAGGTGAGGGTCTCCTCCTCCTGCAGGTGAGGCCCTCCCTCCTGCAGGTGTGACCCTCCTCTCCCTCCTTGCAGGTGTGACCCTCCCTCCCTCCTGCAGGTGTGACCCTCCTCCTCCTGCAGGTGGAGCCTCCTCCTCCTGCAGGTGTGACCCTCCCTCCCTCCTGCAGGTGAGGGTCTCCTCCTCCTCCCCTCCTGCAGGTGAGACCCTCTCTCCTGCAGGTGAGGGTCTCCTCCCTCCTGCAGGTGAGACCCTCCTCCCTCCTGCAGGTGTGACCTCCCTCCCTCCTCCTGCAGGTGAGGGTCCCCTCCCTCCTGCAGGTGAGACCCTCCCTCCCTCCTGCAGGTGTGACCCTCCCTCCCTCCTGCAGGTGTGACCTCCCTCCCTCCCTCCTGCAGGTGAGACCCTCCTCCCTCCTGTGCAGGTGAGACCTCCCTCCTCCTGCAGGTGAGGGTCCTCCCTCCTGCAGGTGACCCTCCCTCCTCCTGCAGGTGAGACCCTCCCTCCTGCAGGTGAGACCCTCCCTCCCTCCCTCCTCCTGCAGGTGGGTCTCCCTCCTCCTGCAGGTGAGGGCCCTCTCCCTCCTGCAGGTGAGACCCTCCCTCCCTCCTGCAGGTGAGACCCTCCCTCCCTCCCTCCTCCTGCAGGTGACCCTCCTCTCCCTCCTGCAGGTGTGACCCTCCTCCTGCAGGTGTGACCCTCCCCTCCTCTAGGTTTGACCTCCCTCCTTCAGGTGTGGCCCTCCTCCTTCAGGTGTGGCCCGGTAGTGTGGCCGCCCTACACGTCACCATAAGGCTCATTATTGTCTCATAACTGATGGTGTTCACCTTAAACCACACCCTGTGTTATTAGACCCCAGTTATAGCACACACCAGTTACAGGTCCTTAACAAGTAGAAGTGGTTTCTATTATGACTGGGGTCTATAGACTGGGGTCTATGACGGGCTATTATGACGGGGTCTATTATGACGGGAGTCTATTATGACTGGGGCCTATTATGACTGGGGTCTATTATGACTGGGGTCTATTATGACTGGGGTCTATTATGACGGGGGTCTATTATGACGGGGGTCTATTATGGCGGGGTCTATTATGACTGGGGTCTATTATGACTGGGGTCTATTATGACGGGGTCTATTATGACGGGGGTCTATAGACGGCTATATGACGGGGTCTATTATGACTGGGGTCTATTATGACTGAGGTCTATTATGACTGGGGTCTATTTTGACGGGGGTCTATTATAGCGTAAAACTCTAAGGTGTTAAAATATCACGTTTCACTACATGCTCTCTCTCTCTCTCTCTCTCTCTCTCTCTCTCCTCTCTCTCTCTCTCTCTCACTCCCACCCCACTCCACTCCACTCCTCCACCCCACTCGCCCCCACCCACTCCCCCACCCACTCCACTCCCCCACTCCCCCCCACTCCCCCACTACTCCCCGTCTCCCCACTCTCTTCCTCCTCCCGGATATTACCTGCCAATTATTCACCAACTTCACCCAGACCATTTACATATGCTGTATATATACCTTGAGGGTTCTTGAAGTAGTGTAGGGTAGGGCGTGGTTCTTGTGGGTGAGAATAGGTCCATTTTGCCCCAGTTCTAATAGGCCCCAGTTCTAATAGGCCCCAGTTCTAATAGGTCCCAGTTCTAAGAGGCCCCAGTTCTAATAGGTCCCAGTTCTAATAGGTCCCAGTTCTAAGAGGCCCCGTTCAATAGGTCCCAGTTCCAATAGGTCCCAGTTCTAAGAGGCCCCAGTTCTAATAGGTCCCAGTTCTAATAGGTCCCAGTTCTAATAGGCCCCAGTTCTAACAGGCCCAGTTCTAATAGGTCCCAGTTCTAAGAGGCCCCAGTTCTAATAGGCCCCAGTTCTAAGAGGCCCCAGTTCTAATAGGCCCCAGTTCTAATAGGCCCCAGTTCTAATAGGTCCCAGTTCCCACAGGCCCCGTTCTAATAGGCCCCAGTTCTAATAGGCCCCAGTTCTAATAGGCCCCAGTTCTAATAGGCCCCAGTTCTAATAGACCCCAGTTCTAATAGGCCCCAGTTCTAATAGGACCCCAGTTCAATAGTCCCAGTTCAGAGGCCCAGTTCTAATAGGCCCCAGTTCTAACAGGCCCCAGTTCTAATAGGCCCCAGTTCTAATAGGTCCCAGTTCTAAGAGGCCCCAGTTCTAATAGGCCCCAGTTCTAAGAGGCCCCAGTTCTAAAGGTCCCAGTTCTAAGAGGCCCCAGTTCTAATAGGGCCCCAGTTCTAATAGGCCCCAGTTCTAAGAGGCCCCAGTTCTAATAGGCCCCAGTTCTAAGAGGCCCCCAGTTCTAATAGGCCCCAGTTCCCACAGGCCCCAGTTCTAATAGGTCCCAGTTCTAATAGGCCCCAGTTCTAATAGCCCCAGTTCTAATAGGCCCCAGTTCTAAGGGCCCAGTTCTACAGACCCCAGTTCTAATAGGCCCCAGTTCCAAGGCCCCAGTTCTAATAGGCCCCAGTTCTAATAGGTCCTAGTTCTAAGAGGCCCCAGTTCCATAGGCCCCAGTTCTAATAGGTCCCAGTTCTAATAGGTCCCAGTTCTAGAGGCCCCAGTTCTATGGTCCCAGTTCTAAGAGGCCCCAGTTCTATTAGGAGTTCTAATAGGCCCCAGTTCTAATAGGTCCCAGTTCTAATAGACCCCAGTTCTAATAGACCCCAGTTCTAATAGGTCCCAGTTCTAATAGGTCCCAGTTCGGATAGGTCCCAGTTCTAATAGACCCCAGTTCTAATAGACCCCAGTTCTAATAGACCCCAGTTCTAATAGACCCCATTTCTATTAGACCCCAGTAGCTCTCGACTCGTCACATAAAGGGGAGTCGGCGTATCCTAGATTAAAATGTAGTGTTTTAGACTTAAGTTTGTTCGCTCTTGTTCTAAGGAAGAAAAAATTCAGCAAGGCTGGGGACATGTTGTTGTTGTTGTTGTTTGTAAGAGATGGTGTGTGTGTGTGTGTGTGTGTGTGTGTGTGTGTGTGTGTGTGTGTGTGTGTGTGTGTTTGTCGTAGTAACAAAATCCTTCCCGCAGATAATGTAAACAACATAATTAAGAAGCAAACAAACTGTAGCTCTACCTCATTACCCTAACGTAGTAAACACACCCAACCAACCCTAACTTAACCCAACCAAACCTAACCTAACCAAACCTCCAACCTAACCTACCCCGAGCCAACCCAACATGACCTGACCTGACCTAACCTGACCTGGTTCTTCCCACAGTTTGACGTCTTCCATCAACGACCTGACTAGTGAGGCGGTCGTGTTGGAAACAGCCATCAAGAATAATGACACGTACCAGGTCAAGAGGCTCAGAACTGCACCACGACAAGTTCCAG